TATATATATATATATATTTTTCTATTTATGTTGTTATTACATCGCGTTTACAACTTATTAAACATACTTTTATATCAACGGATTCTTTACTATGAGGGTAATGTATGTATAGAATAGTTACAATATTAATTTGTACTTGCATGACATTCTATTGACATACACAGTCATATGCAGCACATAAAACAACACTTGACCTTATTCTTTAACATTCGTGAGTTTGAATGTTACAATGTCATGCGTCGAATGGCCAACCTCTCTTTACCCATCAATATTGCGTGTATTCGATAATTTAGTCAATCCCTTTCGTGTAATCCCATTATTATCCGCAGACGTTTAATGCACGCAAGCGCGCTTTACACTTTCTGCTCTTACCACAGAAAGAGAGACTACCTATCTGTCCAGTTATGTTATAACATTTAGTCTCCCCTAACCATCTGTCACTTGTAAACTCCGAAACGCTACAAAATTAACGAAAATTCTTAGTGTCAGAAGGGTAACAATACAAATAAATTCAAAATTTGCGGTCGAGAATTCAATTAATCATGAAAAAAAAAAAGAAAAAGTATTGATTGAAGCTAATAAAAGCTCATCAACTATGAGCAAACACGATAACGATTTCAATTACTCCGTACAAGTGACTCGTATTATTTTGCGATCAATCGGCGCGAGTCCGAATCCAAATTATGTCTCCAATATGGAAAGAATATTCGTTTATGATACTCGTTTCCAAAATGTCATTTGTCATTTTTTATTCGGATTTATCATTGTGCCGAGTCTTCTATAAGTATTTCTAAAGGAACACGAATTCAAACGTAGAATCAGACAGCTTGCGCCGATTGTGAATGCTTCGATGAGTTGGATAAAGTATTTCATGATACTTAACCACGCAAAGAAGATTCAATCCAGGATTGGAGCAATACGATCAATGGAAGCGATGCTGTTTACAGCGAGAGTAGGCCGTAAGTTGCAATTTTTTCTACATGTATACTGGCGGACTATATTACCGAATACTCATGCTAATTTTGAAGGGTCATATACTCAGCCCGGAAAACATCACGGTAAGAGCGCTGGCATTGCTGAGTTACTTCATTAAGTTCGATGAACAAGAGTCACCAGCGTACGAGATCATTTTTACTCTGCAAACCTTCGCAGGAATAATTACTTATTCGACAAGAGTGAATGCGGCCGCATTTTTCGTCATGTTTGTGGACAATTAAGAATTATAATGAGCAAACTGCAGAATTTCAACAACATATCGAATTCTAACGAGCTGTAGCAATATTACTGGCTAATACTGCAAATAAAAATGAAGAGGAGAGTACAAAAATATGTGAAAAGGGGAAGTATCTAAACGCATTATTTTTATTAAATAAATAATTACAAATTGTAGTTGATGTAGATAATCAAATTAGCATACCATTATTGTATTTCTTTCATATTATGTCTATATTAGAAAAAAAATATCATGATGTTTAAATTAAAATTACAAAAATTGAACTAATACATTGTAATTATTATAGTTATTAAACAAACATTAAGCTGATTTTATTTGAGTATTAATTTTTAATATATTAAACATATTATATTATTTATTAAATATATTTTATTAAGGTTTAATATTTTAAATATAAAATTGAATAAATTATTAAATAGACGTTCATAAATAAATAATTATTAAATAAACAAATTATTTATTTACAGTTTTAAGCATAAATAGAGGCAACTATGCGATATCTGTGTGATTAGTGGAAATAATGGGTTATAGTCTACTTTTATGCCTTTCAAGATATTATATTATTATAGTAATAATGACGAATTTTTCCTGAAAATCTTTTATTGAATAATAATTTGACAATTAATTTTTACATGAAAATTAAGACTGATAGTATTTTATTCAAATTAAAAATTCAAAAGAATTAAAAATAAATTATTTCAATAAACATCTTGTATTGCAATTGTCAATCTTATAGGAATGGCAGAATAATGACTTATGACTTAACATGACTTAACAGTTATGTTAATTATGTCTGTGATGCTTACATCTTTCATCTTTTCCATTTTTATCTATTGTTATGTAGGTCAACGATTAACAGATCAGGTAGCAAGTGTTCATATTTATTTGCTGTAAGTTAGGCATTGTTTTCATAAACATTCTTTATAAAATATACATCTTACTTAATTATAACAGAGCATCAAAGTTGGATTAATGACGTCCACGACAAACTGGTATCATTTTCAGTATCAAAACAGCCCGTTCTTTAATACTGATAATGGCAGTTTCCAATATTCCGGCAAAAATTTCGGCAGGCAAAATGATAGACATATCTCTACCTACTTTCAGTAACGTAAGTATGGAAGTTTGTTTTATTTTATTTGCAAGCAGTGAATTATTTGCCTGTTTCATTATTTCACAGATTGTCAAAACATAGATTCCGTACTTTAATATTCTCCTAAAATTTGCTTAATTTTGATGAAATAATTATTACAACAGTACAATTCTCGATATTAATCTGTAATTGACTATTTTTGAAACGATTAACAAGATAAAGGACCAATCTTCTTATTAATCCTAATGTTCTCCTTTCTACTTATAATAACTATCATAACAAATTAACCAACTTTTCGACAAATTTTACATTCACTTAAGATTTCTAATTTTTTATTAACTTTTATTAACAAAATTACACGTATGGTTCGTAATTTTGAAAATCAGATACATCAAGATGTTAAACTTGACTTAATTAAAAATTCGCGTAGTTCTGTTGATTCAATATAACCCTCGATCTACAACCCATGACCTAATATAAATTAGACATTGGTACTTTTGTTAAAGGCCGTCTCGTGTGAATCGATGCTTTTCCATAATTATCTTCTGTTAGACAAAAAATTGTGCGCACGCAATCGTTCGTTCCAAATTTTAAATTGCGCCGTGACAGAACCTCTATGATAACGATGATGATTCACGCCGACTTGAGAATGTGCATAAAACAAATCAGGTTTTGTTGTACTTTCGTCTATTAGTTGTGAATGTATATACTTATTATATATATATACTAATACATTCGTTTCATAAACAATGTAAGAAGAAGAAGAATAGAATTTCTCCGTTTTATCTATATGCATGCTCTGATCGAATGGATGGATTTACGGAATTTCAATTAGAAAAACGATGTTAGGTACACCGTGCACTTGCACAAGTTAATAATGGGAGTAATCGATGTATGGCCAAATGTGAATGAATCCGGAAAATGAACAAGACTTGTCAGAGGACCCCGATTACGAGATCGTATTTTCGACGCATTTGGTAACTTGCATCATAATACACATCATATCAATCAGCTTTTGCGGCGTTATTCATCATGCACGGTTGAGGACAATTCAAAATGTTGATGATCTGGCTGGAGAACTCGCACAAGAAAACCAATGAATGAAATGCCATTGCACTAAAATTGATAACGATTTTCGTGCATCACATAAGAATACGTAAATAAGTAGCTGAATTATTACTCATTTTCCGATTGATTCTAAATTTCTTTTTAGTTTACAATTTGTCTCGAAGTATGAAAATTTCACATTGACATACTCTTAATTTTATTTGTGATGCTTTTTGGAATCAATTCTCTATTTGTTACAAATTAAATTTAGAAAACTTTTGAGTAAATTTAATCCTTGAATTATTTGGTAGCCTTATAGAGTTAAAGATTTTTATCACATATTTTAAATTTAAAAAGTCTAATATACAATACGAAAAATTACGATGATACATGTTTGAATAGTCACAAATTCTATATTTGTACATCAAATATTTTCACATCAGATAAGAGAAATATGTTGTTTCAAAGTTATTGGGAATACTTTAATATGTTTTTTAGGATATTACGTGGTAATGGTAAGCAACAGCATTTTCATTTATTAACATCTTATATTCATCTTCAATAGAATATACAAATCTTTCGTGCTCATTGCTTTTAGTTTTTAAATAATTTATGCAGAAAAATAATAATACATTTTTTAGGAAGAATCGAATGACACACTATCTTCTG